CAAGCTGAAATGCAGCCTGGCAGTGAACCAGAGTCTGGATTCATGGAGCACCTCGGGTTTAGTGTGGTAGACCTGTCCAGACACCTGTCAGACGAGAAGCTGGGGAGCAATGCGCGAGAAAGAGAGACAATAAAAGAGACACGTCCTCCCCGTCGCTGTGGCCGCCAGCTTGTGCACCTGTTGAGGAAGAGTTACGAGATGCCCGCTGGCATGAGAACATGAGAGACAGTCATGGTGTAGTATAGTCCTCTTGGAGGAGATTAGAACAAGCCAGCTGGCCTCCCTCACAAACACAGACACAAAATTCAGTTTTCCTGTCTACATGTGCAGGAAACCCACAGCCCTTTCCACACCAGGTCTTGTAACGCAGCTTATTAGGAAGTTCATGAGTGCTGGCTTTAGAATTATAAACCCATTCTGGTTTTAATGCTCTTGGCTTTATTAGTAATAGTACTTGCTTAGGCAACGCCCAAACAATCACCTAAACACCCAGCTTCACCGCATTGGACTGCATTCATTAGTAATTGTGTACAAGTGTTCTTACTTAGATGGGCAGACACAGTTCTCACGCAAAATTCTCATGCATTAAATGTATTCATTCCCTCGTTCTAATGTTTATAAATCTGGATTATTTTGAATGTAGAGCACGTACATGCAGTTGCGAATTAGCATAATGCATGCCCAATTCATCTCCATATAGGGATTTTCGTACCAGCTCTCCTGTGCAGCAATTCATCATTCTCTGCAAATGCAATAAAGCAATCGCATGGCACACAGAATCACTTAAATAGCCTACAGGGGAAAAAAGATAGAAAGGGGAAAAAATCAATAATTAAACACTGCGTTGTCAATCTTGGTATTGTATCAGACATTTGCACTTAACATATGAAAATCAAGCTCAAATGGAGTTAACAAGGTTTTTGACCAGCGAATGATGGAGATCTGTTTGGTCTGTCAATATAACGGCTGCATCATTATACGCTTTCATCAACTTTTACATATAACTTTTATTGTAGCTATATGGGTGATTAGTTTTTCTTGTTGTTTAATACACTTGGCCAAAATCTCATGATATAAATGATGATGTGCGATATGCACAGGATATTTAAAACATACAAAAAGTATATTGGCTACAACTAGATGGCAAATAGCCTACTTCTTCTCCACTCTTCAAACACACAAAAACATTAGCCTTTAAAGACATAGTGTTTGAGTAAAGAAAACGCTGTACTATTCAAACGTCAGTTATTTATTTACCCTTGCATTGCAAAAAAGCGGAGATCTGTCTCCTCCTGTGCACTCCTGTGGGGTGAAGTTACAAGGTTTCGCTGACAGTTTGAGGATCCAATGGCGTTATGAAGTTTTATTATTGGTTAAATATTTGTAAAAACCCTCTCATTTAAAATAATAATGAAATATAATAGAGATATTAAGTTTGGATAATTTTTCATGGCACACCTGACTAGGCTAGGGTACGGCAACTGCCATACTCTGCTATATGGAAACGCCGCCTCTGCTCTGACCACACACCAGCTACAGATAGAGAGGAGAGAGAGTGATAGAGCCAATTTAGTGGATGGGGATTATTAGGAGGCCATGATTGACAACGGACAGTGGATGGAATTCGGCCTGGACACTGGGGATTCACCCCTACTCTTTACGAGAAGTGCCATGGGATTTTTAGTGACCACAGAGAGTCAGGACCTCGGTTTAAAGTCTCATCCGAAAGACAGTGCTTTTTACAGTATAGTGTCCCCGTCACTATACTGGGGCATTAGGACGCACACAGACCACAGGGTGAGCACTCCCTGCTGGCCTCACTAACACCTCTTCCAGCAGCAACCTAGTTTTCCCAGGAGGTCTCCTATCCAGGTGCTGACCAGGCTCAACCCTGCTTAGCTTCAGTGGGCAATTGTTGCTGTTTTATTCAATTTCAATATCTAAATGTTAGTGAAAAGAATAAAAATACACTTTTAGATATCAATCCATATGTGATGGACATAGGTTATGATCATCTTTGGTATCTCCTTTGAAGGCATCTTGAGTAAAACCGCTCCATATTTAACTAAGCACATACAAAACACTTGAACCAGAAGTGAGGAGACCTGTTTTACAGAATACGGAAGTCTGTTGCGCATAACCCCCATTGTCTGTACACATGCATGTAGATGCATGTAGATAGTGGGAAAATGGAGCAATGCATTTGGAAATGCTTGAAACACTGTCTTCCACTAGTTTTCAACACATATCAGCTTCCACTGTCCAGGACATGTGATGGTGTGTGTGAGAGAGAGAGTTTATAAGCACTTACACAGCTCATTGCTTTCCACCTGTTTAGGAAGAGACATTTTATACTCTTTCTTTTTATGTGCGTGGTCTGCTCTTTGTAAACTGTAATGTTCTGTGTTTGTGGGGTGTAACTGGCTTTACTTTTGAAAAGACCAACTTGAATTGTCATGCTGGTTCAGGGTGGTTTATGCTGGTCTAGCTGGTGAACAAGCATGGCCATGTTTCTTGACAGCAAAAACCGTAACAACCATACTCTGAACCATACAGTATGTTTGTCAGTTTGATTTTGTGTTTTTTGCTCTGAGTAGGGGGCCCAAACTCAACTCTTAGAGGCTATTATATGCTTTTCCCAGACAAATTCATAGGTCTTGCTCAAGTGCTTGTGTGTCTAAATGTGTTGGCATTCACCTTCTCATAACTAGAATACAAAACAGTTGCTAAAACCTTTTTTATATCTGTGTGCCTGTGTTTTTCAACCCCAGAGTTGTGAACACTGAGCCAATTGACTGGTCTTTAAATCGTTTGATCTGTTGGTACATATGCACGGCACAGAACTTAAGTAAACTATTATATGTAAAGACTGAGAAAGGGTGAGAGACTATGCTCTTCAACACATTGCATGACATTAAGAGCAGTACAAACAAACATTTCAAAATGAGACCTCTTTGGAAACATCAAACGAGAGATGAAAGACAGACGGAGCAACAAAGCTGAATAGTGTGAAAGACAAGATGAGAGATCAGTGGGGAAAAGCAACCTCTGTTTACACTTTCCCTGTAAATATTCTCATTTTGTTTGCTCGTTTTTGTGTATCTGCTCCTTCTGTTGCTTTACATTTGATCAGAATTCAGACACTGTTTATACACTTTGTCCTCACATTCTCGCTTTGTTGTGGGATTGTTGTGGATAAAAAGCATGTTGTTTTGTCTAAAACCTTGCTTGCACTGAAAGGAGGCGATCACTGCCTGCACTCCCATTGGTGGTTGTCACATCGAGTAACTGCTCATTTGCATAAAGTCGAACTCTGCAGTATTTGTCAGTATTGATGTCACATTATTGATATCTGGTCACAATTGCAAGTCGTTTTCATTAAGAATGGCCGTTAAAGATGTAGTTCGCCCAAAAATGTTAATTCTGTCAACATGTCACCCTCATGTCATTCCAAACCTGTATGAATGTTGGTAACCAATAGAAACCATAGTTTCCATTCCCATTGACTTACATCATATTTTTGTTCATACAATGGAAGTCTGAACCAAAACTGTTTGAAAGAATAGTCAGATACAGGTTTGGAACAACATGACGGTGAATGCATTTTAGTGTGGACTATCTCTAAGAGTACAGACACCATTCAGACAGTATCTGAGGTTTGTGCTGTTATTCTAAGTTGCCGACCCTGATTTAGTCCTGTGCGTCATCGTCTTAGAAAGCTTCCCAGCTGTGATTCTGAGCAACCACATCCTTGTTTTCTTCATCCTAATAGATGTATGAAAGACGAATTACATTTCACATCCGTTTCCTTACAGCTGTGTGCTGTGTTTTGTCTCATTATTAGCAAGATGTTTGATACTTTCACACAGACGTAGCTGATAATTATCAGATTCAGTACCCATAATAATCCCCTTACAGACTTGTGGGAAATTTGGCTGTATTTGGTTTTTACATTGTGTTCTTTACTCTGTTCCAAAAGCTAGTGAGCTGACTATCTAAAGAGCATTTTAAGGGACTTTCTAAAAGGTAGACTATCGCTTAAAATGCACATGATGCTGTCTTATGAGATGGCTCATTTTGGCCAAATTCTACAGCAACATTGTGTCCTTATTTTAGTATTATTTATACTATTATATTTATTAATATTTTAACTTGGCTTTTTTCAGTTTTCATTTTAGTTGTAGTGGATATTATGTGCTTTCATCATTTTTATTAGTTTTCTTTTTTATATTTCTGTATAGCTTTAATTTTTGTATTAATTTTATTGCTTAATTTTAGTGCAGTTTTAGTACTTCAACTTCAATTTCAGTTAGCTGCCAAGGTAACAAATTGAAGTTCATCATGTAATATTTATATTTTATTTTATTTCAGCTTTATTTCAGTTACCAAAATTGCTTTTAATAGTTCAAGTTAACACTGGCGGTGAAGGCAATCCCAGAATGCACTGCAACAAAATGAAGCAGCAGTATTTCACTCATTCATAATTGAGCTCACTTAGCCAGTAAACTCTATTATGATATACTAAAAGAAAGAAAAAGGATTTTACAGAAAAATGTATATGGTTATAAAAGAAAGAGAGTGTCATGTGCTATGATGTGCTATGATTGATTTTTGTCTATGTGCTGGCATTCAGCTGTATGTGTGTGATCAACATAATGCAAAATAAATATGAATCATATGAATGCTGATGTGTTTTCTATGTTGCAAGTGATTGGTTTCATTTGCATGTGACCAGAAGCATGTCTGCATGTTCAGGGTATTATGGTTTTCCATATGGCCTTGAGCATATAATTAATCAAAATGAAAACCACATAAATTAAAATATGAATACATGAACAATATAAATATATGAATTTTCAATATGGACATAAATCATTGTAACAGAAAGACAGTGACAGAAAGAAAAAATAACAGTATTAATAACAGTAATAACAGAGGACAACACACTTGAAAAAGTAAGGTGTTGACATTTTTTTGTTTTTAATGTTTGTATCTTGCAGAGTACAAAACCCAGTTTCAATGACAATGCACCAAAGCAAAACCCAGAAATTCATGGTTCAACAGAAAAACTACCACACTCACACACAGCTGAACCGAGCCATCCCTCTTTCAGTGGGACACAATCCAATAAATGGTAAGTACAATCCCTCTAGAGTTGGATCTCATTGAATTCAATGTGGTTTTTTTTGTGTGTGTGTGTTGTCTTTCACAGCACATGAGCATGTCAATTAAAACACCTAAAAACCACTGTAAAGTTGTTCAAAAGACTTTTGCACAATATTCTAAGTCATATGATAGATATGTGTGGGAAACGCATTGAAATTTAAGTCACAAGAATTTTAAAAACTAATGATGTTAGGCGTTGTTTAACCTGGACTGTATTGACTTGACGGAAGAATTGTTCATGTGACACTGAAGACTGCAGTAGTGGCTGCTGAAAATTCAGCTTTGCCATCACACGAATAAATTATATATTAAAATAGATAAGTTATTTTAAATTGTAATAATATTTCACATTATTACTGTTTTTACTGTATTTTTGATTTAAAAAAAATGCATCCTTGGTGAATATTATAGACTACTACTTCTTAAAAAAAATTTGAATCTTACCCACTCCTGCACAGTAGTGTATGTCTTGGCTTCCATTCTCTATAATTTTTGATGTAATCCCAAAGCATCTCCTCCTGATGAAGTAATATGAGAAAGAGTGACATCAGCATCTCAAAATTTTATTTAATGTATCAGTTTTTATTTTTCAACAAGACTCACTGACTCTGCATAAAGATCTGGGTGTTTGACGGAATGACAGATCACACACACTGTGAAACATTCCGTGTGCAGAGTGACAGCATGTCTGGCTCGCTTAGAAACGTTTAGCTCCGTGTCTGCAATGCTGTGAGATGACAGTACGATTTTGTTATACAGCTGTAGTATGAAGTTGAAGATGATGATAAAACAGGGTTCCCACAGTTATCAATATTAAAGATGAATATTAAAACTTCCAAGCCCAGAAGAGTTATGGAAATGTATGAAATATTGAAAAGTCATGGAAATTTCTATAGAAAGCTGTTTTTGCACAGTGTTGTGGTCTGACATGCCGTTTCTCGCTGCTTTGAAACTCAGCCAAACCGCACTCTGACTGGATGTCGGATCGTACAGAAGTGACCGGGTTCACTCAGAGGGAGACAGACCTTTACATATTACATTACGTTAGTCTGTAGGCCATAAGAGACAAGCATCTGACTGACTTCCTGTTGACCTCATGTTACATTTGTAGTTTTGATTGGATTTATGGATTGATGGAAAGAAGGGGGATTGGGTTAGATCTACAGTTTGAACAGAAACTTTTTCATTTTTGGTTACTGGTGCAACAATGCACACTTCAGATTTAATGATAAACAAATGCTGTATTCGTGTGTTGGTTCACCTTGATTTACTTTGGGGACAAGGAACATTTCAAAAAAGTAATTTGTTCACAAATCAGACTACAAAGGTTGTGCTACATGTTTCTGATTCTCTAAAAAATAAACGGCTTGTAAGAGAATGCCATTTTATCTCATTACATTTTATTCCTGCTTAATCTGACTAAAACATACATTTGGGTACGTCTTCCAAGGTAGCCCAATAGCCTAATTTGTTAGCAATAGACATAAAGGGAGAGCAGGGTAAAAATATTAATTTTCCTGTTAATCATAGTCTTGATTTGAATGATCTCAATTCTCAAAATCTTTTCTATTATTACTGCTGAATCTACAGCTTCAGGTGAAGTTCGTGGACCGAATTCAAAGTAAAAAGATAAAAAGTTTACTGCAAAGTAATGACAAGAAACCACTTCTATTAATGTGTCTAATTTGCAAACAAATGACTCTTAAGAAATTAATCTTTTTATTGAATTGAAAAATAAGCAACCAGTGTTATTTCCTGAACAAGGAAATAACAAAGTCGTTTGTTCATTCCTGAACAAACGACTCTCTTGATCCATTTCTTGTAATGAATCATTCAAAAAGACTGAGTTAACATTTAAATCAGTTTGTCATATCCTGATATAAATGATGAAATACAGACGTTGTATTAATATTAATTTATTTAAAACTTTGAGCAAGATTTGCCATCTCTTGCTTGAAAGGCAAGAAATATCTCTCTAAGCCACATTAGCTCATGTCCAGATAGGGGACTGAAATCCTAGCATCAAATCTGAAGTTAGGTTTTATAATTAGTTTTATATAAAAACTAAACAAGTCTGGTATTTCCTATGGTAATTTAGATTTTCCAACTAAAAGTGTATTTGTGGTTAATGGTAGTTGTAGTTATAGCAGACTGACTAGTTTCTCAATGTCTTAGGCGTCTGGCTCCCGGTGAGGTCTGTCCAACACGAGAGACGGCCTGTCAGCAGCCCTCCGTGTGTGTGCGCGTGCGAGCGCGTGTGTGTGTGTGTGTGTGTGGCACTCTGGTAAAGCCATTCATCTCTTGTCGTCTGTTGCTGTACACTCTCAGTGTGTCTTCCTCAATTTACTTTCCTTTCTCACTTCATAACAGCTGTTTGATCTTTGAGGAAAGGTTACATGTTAGATTCTAGTAGATTTACTTTACATAGAGAGAGGGAAGGAGACAAAGCATTATAAGGCTTAGTCTTATAAGCATAATACAGATGTTGGTGACTTTTGGTGAAAAAAATCTAAAAAGCCACAATCACACTAATGCAAATTAGCGTGCACACAAAGCTATGACACACAAACTGTATGGATGGTCTGCACAAACCGTATGGACTACTTTTATAAAACTTACGGTATAAATCTTTTTTGATGTCCCACAGAAGAAAGTCATGTTGTCTAATTGTTCTTTTTTTTTTTTGTAATTCATAGTATTTTTTGATGAAATAATCCTTTAACAAGGTTTGTTTTAAATGGATCGATGGAGGATGAATGATAGTGTAAGGATCAGGAATAGAGACAAAGAAACAACAGAAACAGAAAGCAGACAGAAAAACAGGCAGGTAATCGAGCAGAAAACAGGCCAGGAATATCTACAGATGTCTGACTTGGAAGTATTTAGTGAGACGGTGATGCCAAGAGTATATCAGACTGCAATTTAAATAACATGCTCACTAATACAATTAATTAATTAACTAGACTCGGAGAGGAGAATGTGGGTAGATTATTTTCCACATAGTTTTGCAGGTGGAAATGACATTTCAATTAAAGGATTCAGGACAGACTATTTTAGGAAATTTGTTTTCCCTGCATTTGGTGTGAAAGTCTATTTATGTTGGTAAGAAATGAAGCTGCTTAAGAGAGACTGGACTTCAACTAACAACAATTTTATAATCAATTAATCTGACAATTATTATTTTTTTCTTAAATATGATGTTTTACATCTAGCCAAAACCTATTAACATAAAAAAATATACACTTTTCCTAGGTAATAATATTAATATGTTTGATTAGTAGTCATAGCTTTAGTTAGAAATGAGAGTTACACTCTTAAAAATAAAGGTGCTTCACGATGCCATAGAAGAACCTTTTTGTCTAAATGGTTCCAGAAAGAACCTTTAACATCTGAAGAACCTTTCTGTTTCACAAAAGGTTCTTTGTGGCGAAAGAAGGTTCTTCAGATTATAAAAAGGTAAGAAAGAGATGGTTCTTTAAAGAACCTTTGACTGAATGGTTCTTCGTGGAACCAAAAATGGTTCTTCTATGGCATCGCTTGAAGAACCTTTTGAAGCACCTTTATTTTTAAGAGTGTAGTTGGGAAAACCCGACATTCCCTCTTTTCATCGCTGTATAAGGCTTGGAGTTGTGGTCACTTTGTCCGAATCCTGCGAGAAGAACTGGATCTGGTCCCAGAGTTGTTTGCTAGTCTCTCTCTCTCTTTTTCTCTCTCGCTTTTTTGCTTCTATTTTTTCCCTCAGTCACCTCCTCATGTTCCAGAGACTGAGGTATTGGACCAAGGACAGAGAAAAGGAGGGAATGGACGAAAAAGGAATCAGTCACAGGGGAACACGTACAGGAGACTAAGAAAAGACAAGACAGCAGAAAGACTTTTTTCCTTTCTCCAGCCTCTCTCCCTCTCGCTCCCTCTCTCGTTTCACTTTCTTAAAGCTGAACTCTTGAGCTGTTCTGCCAGACACTGCCTACAAAAGTGAGAGAGAGTCGTTCTGAGTTGTTTATGAAAGCCATGCCGTCCAGACTCATGGATTTTTCTCTCTTCTCTCTGTTGATGTCTCTCCTTTGCTGGGCTGCAGTAGGGAACCACACAGGCCGGATCAAGGTGGTCTTCACCCCGACTATCTGCAAGATGACCTGCACCAACGGCCGCTGTCAGAACAGCTGTCAGCAGGGCAACACCACCACTATCATCAGTGAGAACGGGCACACTACGGACACACTCACCGCCCCCAACTTCAGAGTCGGTGAGTGGCATCACCGCCTCTTCTCAATGTATTGTGGGAAAAGTGGGAATTTTCATTCATCTAGGTCTTGTAGAACATCTAATTCTTTTGTTGGCAACTGGACTTTGTTGAATGTATGTGTGTATGCTTGCGTTTGCTGTATACTGAACGGAGAACAGCTGGCCACGGGCCTGTTACATCATGTCCAGCCTTAGACAGGTCTATAATTATGGCTGATGTTTGGATGTGTTTCTAGTCGCAGTTTTCACTTGCCTGGCAGATATTGTGGAAAAGTTTAAGATGCTTTAGACTGTGTCTGAAAAACCTACATAATTGGACCTCAGTTCTTCTAGGTTAGTTTCCAGCAGTGATATTTCACAATGAGGGCTCAGAATGGATCGAGAGCATGTGGTTATGACACAGCAGAACGTCTTCTGCCCTCCGGCTCAGCCAGTTTATGTTCATTTACTGCCCGGCTCAGCCTCCTGAATAGAGACAGAGCAGTTTCTAGTCAATGGGGTTTTGGGAGTACAAGACAAAAAAGTTCCTTTCTAAGTAAAATCAAAAAGTACATTCACTGCTTGCTCCACTGCTCTTTAAGGTCCTCTATTGGGGGATTGCAAGTAGTTACTTTGTGACTTGCATTAGGGTCAAGAATGAAGCAATAGACACAATTTATACACATAGTTGTTACATAAGGGTTACTTTTGAATCCAATTACTTTGTGGACACAAGGGTAGCATTCATCTAGGGGTTGTTTTCACCAGTGGGTTTTGTAATCAGCACCCGGCAGGTTGAGCGGCTGAAATTGTATTCCATATAAGAGGGTCAGGAAAGCTCAGAGGAGTAAGTGTTTGGACAGATACTCTCAGTATAAGCAGAGTTTGTGCGTGGTGCTAAGATGTCATTCTCCCTCTCTCCCCGGGAAGCTGTTTGTCTGAATGAGGTGAGCGTCTGGAGTGGGTGAGTGTGTGCGGCCTTATAAGGAACACAGAGCGTTCTGTCAGCTCTGATCCAGACGCAGCTGGGAGGAGTGATCCCAGGCCGAGCTCCAGCACTGTGGAGAATGGAGACACACTCACATTAGAGTTGGATCAATACCAAGATTTTGGCTTCGGTACTCTGGACCAACCTCTCGTAAACGAGAGATGTCAATAGATTCAGTAATTTGACTGATCTCAGAGCAAATGTGCAATAATTAAATATAGCTTTCCCCATTCATCACCCTTCAAAAGTTTGGGGACGGTAAGATTTTTGATGCCACATGATCCTTCAGAAATCACTCTAATATGCTCTAATATGCTGATTTGGTGCTCAAGAAAGATTTCTTATTATTATTATCAATGTTGAAAACAGTTACGACTTGTACTAGATATTTTTGTGGAAAATGTGATACTTTTTTTCAGCCTACTTTTTTATGCCTGAAAAGACAGTTCGAAGGAACAGCATTTATTTGAAATAGACGGGTCAAGTATCAAAATTGCCAAAATAACAGTGTCATGGTCTTTTGTTTTTATCAGTATTCCATGCATGCATAGAGACTGTCATACAGACCTGTGAAGTATTAATCAACTCTAGGTTTTGACTGCCACATTGATCAATACACCATCTCATAGAAATACTAAAGATTGATATGTAGCTGCATGCTCCTTTATTATGATTGCACTGGAGATAGGAATGTATTGCTGCACTTCTGAAAATCATCAGTGATGTCCAGACTGCTCCAACTGGAGCTGAATGTTCATCCCAAGTGACTGTGTATGTGTATATGTCTCACCCAAACGCGTTGTTGGACACAGTTGTGTTGGGTGTTTTGACAGTCATCCCCATGGAGCTGCCACTGAACCTGTCTGTACTAGCAGAGGCGTTGGGGTTTACAGGAAAATGTTACTCCGTCTGTTTAAGGGCCATGGGTGGCTGCTCTTTTTTTCAAATGAAATGGTATTCCAGGTGGGTTAATGACATCACAATTACAAAAAGCTCTGATGACTTGCTTTTCTGTTCTCACTTATGTGAAACTCATTTGCCAGTTTTGGAATGCTTTTAATGGGTGTGTGTGCCCCTGAACATTCTGTGAGAGTTCTGGTCTGAGTGGAAGAGAAGGATGAAGTCATATTTTCATCAATATTTACATGCCATCAGAAAATCTTGTTAGATTTTTTGATTAGTTGTATAGAATCAGTGTGAATGTTGGACTCATGAGGTCTTTAAGACTGTGCGTGTGTTTTGTTTTAATTTGTGGTTCAGAGTGGTGTTGTCTTATCAACTGAACATCATACACATTCAAAAGTATCAGATCACTAGATTTTATTTCAAGAATTAATACTTTTATTCAGCAAGGGTGCATTAAATTGATCAAAAGTGACAGTAAAGACATTTTTATGATGCTTTAGACTGTGTCTGAAAAACCTACATAATTGGACCTCAGTTCTTCTAGGTTAGTTTCCAGCAGTGATATTTCACAATGAGGGCTCAGAATGGATCGAGAGCATGTGGTTATGACACAGCAGAACGTCTTCTGCCCTCCGGCTCAGCCAGTTTATGTTCATTTACTGCCCGGCTCAGCCTCCTGAATAGAGACAGAGCAGTCTGGGTTCTTCACACACTTCTTAGTTGCGTAATCTGGTGGTTCCCAATCAGGGCATTTGGAAAGAATTTGATTTGGCTGTGGTAGAGTCTTTGTTACTTTTTTGTTAACTTCTCATTCATATTTGCCCAAATTATTTTATTATTTGCTCATGGATGAAGTTTTTTACTTATTATTACATATTTGAATTCCAATATAGAATATGCAAATTACTGCTGTTAAACATTCCATTTAGATTTCATGTATAAGTAAATTCGGCATTTCTCGCAAAGAAAGTGTGAACGGTCAAAACTTATGAAAGACAAACTCGGGTGTCTTATTATAGACAGTGGAAGCTACTTACCCACTCAGTTGATATAAAGTGATTTTATATATATATATATATATATATATATAATACTTTTATTCAGCAAGGGTGCATTAAATTGATCAAAAGTGACAGTAAAGACATTTTTATTGTTATAAAAAATGTAAATGACAAATAAATGCTGTTCTTTTGAACTTTTTGTCAAGGTTTCAATACACCGCACAACTGTTTAAGTCATTGATAATAATAAGAAATGTTTCTTGAACATCGAATCAGCATAATAGAACTGTTTCTGAAGGGTCATGTGACCCTGAAGACTAGAAAAATGCCTGCTGAAAATTCAGCCTTGCCATCACAGGAATACATTTCATTTTTAAATATATGAAAATAGACAACAGGTGTTTTAAATTGTAATAATATTTCACAATAATTATTAATTTTTATCATCAGATAAATGCAGATCTCAAACTTCTGAATGACAGTGTGCGGTATGTGAAACATATTGCACGGAATAAAATACTTCTGTCTAGACATTAACAGTCAAAACCTGTCAAAAATGACTATCATGCTACTGATGCTACTGATGAAAGCCAACTATATTTTAATATTAGCATTTTAAGCCTGTGATATATTATGCCACCTGGCTAAAATCATAATATGAAATCCTATATGAGTGAAGTTAGTTGGCATATTTGCTTTTGGATTGGTTGATGTAGAATATAAACTAAAAAATTAATTGTGAACAATTGGAAAATGTAATAAGGAGGATAAAAAAATAATAAAATAAAATAAAATAAAAAGGCCATTTTAGAGTTGTTTGGCACAAGTGTACAACATAACTCAAGTCATAAATTTATAGTATTTATACTGCATTTTGTTGTTGTTCGTTTTCTCTTTGGGGTTTTGACTTCTTTCATTTGCACCTAGTTGAGTTTTTAAAATGTTTATTCCACCAGAGATATTCAACAAGTATGAAAACCACTGTCCCGCCAGGCCTCTCATTAGAGCTGCTCCTGGCTGTCAGCTCATCTGAAAGTCAGTGTGTTTGTTTATGTGTATGTGTGAGAACCTCTGTAGTTGTCATGCTGCTATAGTTAAAGCCAGCTCTGACAATAAAAATCATCTAACCACCATATCAGTAATGTTTATATCTCATAAATATATATACACCTCTTTTATATAATAAACCATGTTATAGTCATTAATGTGTGAAAGAGTAAAAGTTTATGATTGTGTGGTCTGTCATTCTGCTCCTGCTGGTTGTCTTGCCATTTCTGCCACATTAAATTTGTTTACTATCATACAGCTCTATTTCCTCCTGTCCGGGATATAGTGGTGCTGTGTAGTTCACTAGTTGGGCAGGATGTGTATGAGTGTGAGTATGTATGCGTGATTCAATGTTGATACATGAGAGTGTCAAGTTATTGCCTGAGGTTCACTGTTAGATTTCCCACTAGAGCAGAAATAATGAAAGTGTGTGTGTGTGTGCGTGTTGTCTATAAATCATGCTTTGTCAGAGTGAATGTAAATATTTATATATATATGTATTTGTTTGTGTGTGAGTGTAGGATTGATTAGCGATACCTTGGGGACGAAATTGTCCCTGGAAGACAGTTAAATATGACAAAACCTCTCTTTGGGGACGTTTGGGGTTACCCTCATTTGGAAAAATGAATGAAATAATGCTTCATGAATAAAAAAAGAGTGTGAAAATGTATATAAAAATAATAGAAGACTGTGATAAGTCACCATGTAGCCAAGTAAGCAGTCTACCCTCCCTTTAATCTTAAATTATGGTATCTGCAGTCAGTGAACTCTGCGTCTGGCCACAGGAGGTCTATGCGGTTTGAGAGGAAATGACATCATGTTGTGCTGTGTGGGAGTGGTGGTTAGGACAGCCGTGCTGTTTTAATGAGCATTTAGCATGATGAGTTCATGATGGTTTATTATATTATGTGGCTTTTGGTTTGGGAAAGTTTTTAAAGAATATCACGACAGGAAAATGAGGTTCACCTCATTTAAATGTTCGAAATAATGTCCTATACCACAACACAAACATATTGCCGTAAAATATCAAGTTCCAAAACGTTTATTTACCTCAGCTGTGGGATAATTAAATCCATTCATCATTTTGCTAGTATTATTACTGAGCCGAATGTGATCTAAAAGCTCAAGTGAGATTTTAAGCAGTGTGAAAAATGTCTAGAAGCGAGCGAGGCAGAGAGAAAGTCGAAGATGTTTCACGGCAGAATGGTCCGTCACCATAATGGCATGTTTCAGTGGAAATGTGTCACGTAGAACTCTCATTACACGCCACCACAAAAGTTCCTAAACAGCTTTTGTGTGAAGTGTTTAAGCACCTACACATACGCACACAACAGCCCACAAGCAAAACTAAAGTTTGATGATCATTTTGTTGGTTCACCTGTGTATATGTTTGTCAGTCTCTTAAATGTGATGGGTCTCTGAACAGGAAGTTGTCACTAAACTAAACATTGAAAAATGTCACCCGATAAGGCTGTAATTAACCACGCTTTGCTCTGTTTGTGTGTGTTTTAGTTGTTTGCCATTTGCCCTGCATGAATGGAGGAAAATGCAGCACTCGGGACAAGTGCCAGTGCCCACCAAACTTTACTGGAAAATTCTGCCAAATGGCGAATCCCAACGGTCACCAGGGTCAACATACTGTCGTAAACGGACAGAAGACACACGTCCACTCAACGCACACGTTACCCCTCAGCTACGGCACTGGACAAAACCAGGGTAACACTTATTTCTGTGTTTTTACCTGTAGAAAATCTGGCTGAAACTTGTTATTCAGAAATACATGGCTTTGCTGTTATTAAAGGAATAATCAGAGCTCAGAATTCCCACAAAATTAATTGTCAATTGTCCTTTGTTTTCTTAAAAAAAAAAAATAATAATAATAAAAGTCTAGGTTACAGTGAGACACTAGTAATGGAAGTCAATGGGGCTGAGCCATAAACATTTAAATACTCAGTATAGCTACAATATCTAAACAATATGTGTTAGCATGAGTTTATTGTGAAGAATTTCTTAACTGATTCCTTGTAAAAAATAATATCCAATTTTACAACTTCATTGTCAATACAACACAACCCTAAAACTCTAAAATGACTGTAAAAATTAATTAAACATCTCAAGTAATGCACAATTTTTGATAGAATAATTAATGCAAGAGCTTTTATAAAATTATCACATTTTACGGCATTTAAGTCTGCCAGGAATTGTCCCCAATCACTTGTACATGGCTCATTGTTATCTCAGTTTTTGCTCTTTTTTTTTAGAGAATTTCTTTTTTCTTTCTGGTAATTAACATTACACCACCAATGCTGTTGACTGAGGTCAACTTTGTATTGAAACCATATGAATCCCCTTTAAAGTGTAACTTTTATGTAGGTTTGGTGAATGTCCATGTGAAACATCCTCCAGAAGCCTCTGTCCAGATCCATCAGGTGTCTCCGGTGGACAGTAACGGGCAGGTCAAAAACACACAGTCCAGCCACACCTTCACCTACCACAGCAGCAGCCAGAGCATCCAACACGGACATACTCACAGCGGCGTCATTTACCCCAACCAGCAAACATACCCCCAATACCAGCCGGTGACTTCCAAGAACCAGCTGGGACGCTGCTTCCAGGAGACTGCTGGAATGCAGGTCAGAGAAACAAAGAGTGTTTGTTTGTAAACTCATGTATAAAGCTTTTATGTGAGGAAATGCGATATTCACACTACATGTAGATATTTCACCCAAAAATTAACGTTCTGTCATCATTTGCTCGCCCGCATGTCATTCCAAACCTCTATGACTCTTTGTTATTCTGAAAGATGTCTCTGTGTTGTGTTCCATACAATGAAAGCCAATGGGATCTCATTTAATTTTATTGTATGGGCAAAAACAGTCTTTAAAATATCTTCTCTAGCTTTACCTTTACCTTTCTATTCATCTGTCTCTCTGTCTCTCTCACCATTGCTGTGAGCTGTGAATCATCCACCATTACTCTCTGTCTCTCACTTTTAATGTCTTTTAAACTAACTCATTTTCAGCTATCATCAGATGATCAAGACGTAGAGCGAAAGACAAAATGAATAGTGAGATTAGACTCCCACCAGAACATTGTGGTGCTCAAGGGAACATCTGTCTCTTAAGAAGAGCACTGCAGATGAAATACAAAAGAATGATTCTCAAAAGAGTAGCTGCCTCCTGCTTAAAAGAACATCCAGTTGCCTTCTACTCCTATAGTTGTTAGTCTATCAAGTTATTATTATCAAGTTCACCACAGTCTTGTTTGTTTACTCTAATCATAAAGTGCCGTGACTGTTTTTGCAACCATTCGGACTTAATTTGCGACTTTGTCTTTTCGTGTCAGCAGAGGAGGGTGTTATCAGGTTGTTTGAGTTGTGTATCATTGCTGTCTCTCAGATTTCTGTTCGTTTCGTGCCTGGTTCAGCAGATTAGATGGAGTCAGGGAAGAGATATCAGAGTGTTGATCAGAAAGAACAGGGATCAAGAGCTGTGTGTGAGCAGAATTATGTATGTGTGTGTGGGAAATGGTCTAGATGAGTATCTCTGTATTTCTCTCTTATTCTTTAAGTCGTTTGTTAACTTACTGGATTTGATTGTGTTTTGTTGTTGTAGTGTGGGAAAGCTCTGCCCGGCCTGTCTAAACAAGATGCCTGTTGTGGGATGGTGGGCACATCATGGGGATTCCACAAATGCCAAAAATGCCCCAAGAAAACATGTAAGCTACTGCCTCACTCACACAAACAAAAACTTTGGTCTTGCACAATTATCTGCCACATTTTTACAAAGAAAAACACCCGTTAGACAATCATCTACCTAGCTTTCAAAAACATAAACACTCATCTCACACACATAAATTGTCTCAAGGCCCGAGTATGCTACATTTTTCTTGTTTCCTGCTCCTAGCACACAATTGACCCTTCACAGAATCTGACATTTTTGTCCGACAAACAAGACAGGAGAGTAATGTCGTTGAACTTGAAAAATGGTGTTTTGACATCTTTCCGTGGTTGAAACAAGATACCCACTGATGTGCATTCATGTTTATTTCATGCTATAACTAGTAAAGAGGAAGAGATGATCAGTTAACATGCCACTTGAACTGAGGCACTACAGCAATCTGTCACGACACATTAAAGAGCCACAAAATGGTATTTATTGTTTGAATTTCTTCAAAAAATTGAAGGCTTAGACTTTGTTTCATACCTAAAGTAACTGCTCTGTCTCGCCTATCAGTGCGTTGTCAGTTTTCTCTTTGCTCCGTGATGTATTTTTCACTGCGTGAGAACATGATGCATGGCATAAGAGCGGATGGCTTGTCAGACATAGCAATAGTAACGAAGGGGGTGGAACTTTATGAATGGTTAATTGAGCATACAAGTTCAAATATACTTTATTGACCCTGAGCGAGGATGGACATGTTCTGCATGTGTGCACTACCTGTTTTGGATCTTTTTTTTTTGAGTGCTCAAATAACTCGCGTATTCGCACAAAAATCGTGATGTGCGCAGACATCCTTGAACCAAAGCGGAATGTGGACAATAGAAGTATACTTTCCACTTTTACACAGACAAACATCTGTCTCATTTTCATGACCAAAAATACATGTCTCACTCACACATGAAAACATCTTTCTCACACACATCTGTCACATTTTCACAAACAAAAATACCCATTTCTACCTCACACACAAAAACAACAGTCTGTTCATCATGTAGAAAATCATCTACCTCATTTTCATGAGTAAAAACACCTGTCTCACCCTCATACCCTCTCTTTCTTTCAAACATCTGTTTTACCTTACCACACATGAACATCTGTCTCTCCCTCACACACTAACTCAAGCATATGTCTTAAATTTTCACTTTTAGTCTGTTAATTGAAAAACCAGAATGATTGAAACAAACTATTGTATGATCAGAGTGAGACACACGTTAAACATTAATATGCATATCATTGCTCTTTTGTTGATTTTGATTGCTTCCATTGTCCTCATTTATAAGTCGCTTTGGATAAAAGCGTCTGCTAAATGTAAATGTAATGTCTGGGCCTCTTTTGAGATGAAACACTTGCAGAATGATTGTGCACACAGTATTCCACAGTAGTGCGTTCCGAAATGAGTGGGAAAGCAATGATTCATCAAGAGGCCCAGCCTTGATTTCTCACTAACTAAAAGAGACTATGAGGAGTTCTTTTGAAAACCATTTGATGTCAAACCTCCAAGTGGCTGTGACTCAACAGACACATGGTCCTAATATCACAGCGAGAATGAGAGTGAAGGGATGCATTCCACAGAGAAAAGGCAAGTGCGTAATGAATGGGCAAAGGAAAGAGAAAGCTGTAAAGTATTTGGTTAGATGTGCTATGTTGAACTTACTGACATGCTGACTCACCTGGCACACACTCCAGCTTTAGTAATGGTCCCTCACATATACACACACACACACACACATTTACTCATGCAGTCATGATTCCTCCATGCTTAGTCACTTCTCTGAAGTCAGTCCCTACAGAAAACTGTTAGCGTACCACCCCTTTCGCTCTCTTTCTCTTTGTGGTATGTCCGTAAATGTTTCTGAAATTCTCTGCCCATATATGGGCATCACTGCATTCTGTGCATTCTCAGACATAACACTGATTTAAACCTTATGGACGTCACCAAAACAAACGTTCATGAGTTTCTGAAAGATTTAAGGATTGTTGTTTCAATCTTCAAATGCCAATTAAAATGTTATTCCTGTTCTTGAAAAGTGTGGTTTATTCATCTCACACTTTTTCATTTCATTTTCATGTAGATGTTTACTCCATTTTGGAGGCACAGCGATTCAATATATCCATGAGAGGTGTGAAGTTGATGTGACATTACCGTTGTCTCTGAGCTCTGTTTGCAGCAGCTGTAGGCGAGCACTTACTAGGACATCAGCTGGCTCTGAACGGAAATAGAAGTGCACGGCAGTAACTGAACACAAGTGTTGGGGTAATGAAGATGTAAACAAGTCTGGAGTTCAGCCCCCTTTATTTCTGAAGCAGGCTCAAAATATGACCCCTGGAAGTGCCGATGCCATTCTGTTCTCTTCCAAACGAGTCATTCTGTCTCACTCTCTCTATGTTCTATTTATGTAATTTATTACGGTCATTACCCATGAGAATGAGAGGGAAGTAAACCCTGTTCCTGTTACGAGTTCCCAGTCGCAAGGCCTCCCCTGAGACAAACCGCTACAGAACTATGTACAATGTTTTTGCTGGCTTCTTATCTTTTTTTAATCTACGAGCTGAAGAGACAATGGTGTGTTTAACAACACACTATATAGAGTGATTCATGATCTGTGTTTGGATGTGTTTGTGTGTAGTGTGTTAGTGTAGAACACGTAAGAACAGTGTTCACTCTGAATCCTGAGTGACTGCGTTTTGCTTCCCTTTATATCCCATTGGTTTCCTGTGGTGTGGAAATTGATTTAAGAAATGGAAAGAAATTATGAAATTAAAACTCAGCAAGGATGCATTACATTGAACGATTTCTAAATTGTTCTTTTAAACTTTCGATTTTTCAGAGAATCTTGACAAAGATGCACACATTTTTCAACATTATTGATAATAAGAAATGTTTCTTGAGCACCAAATCAGCATATTAAATGATTTCTGAAGGATCATGTGATCCTTCGCTGAAGTTAAGTAAATTATTCTTGAGTTAAGTAAATATTATTTATTATTTTAAAATAGGTAAAAATAAAAAATTCTAATAAAAAAGTTTTTAAAATTCTAATAATATTTCACAATATTACTGTAAATAAATGCAACCATGGTGAGCATAAGAGACTTCTTTGAGAAACAAACAAAAAAATCTTA